GGAGAGAGTGCCGTGGGGCAGAGGCAGCAGCGCCGCATGCACAGGCAAGCAGAGGGAGAAGGACAGCCCTCAGCCACGCTGCAGCACACCTTTGCCCCACACTGAGGCCACAGAGGGGATTTTTTTCCTAGGATCTGGTCTGAAAAAGCAGGTAAAGTGATGTGTTTGTCCCAAGGATGAAAGTTGGAGTCAAGCTTCATGGAGCTGAATCCTTGAGTGCGCTGGGGCAGAGCTCAACACACTTTGCTGTGATGGAGGGAATGGCAGATTTTTCTCCTCTTTGGCTGTTTGCCTCCAATTTGAAGGCATACGTTGGTGCCACTGGCAGAGCTCGGAGTACATCTCCCACCTGCTCTAAACTGCACAAGCTTGCAGCCAGCTCTGGGGGCTGCTCGATGCCAGGATACAGGACACAGAGCTGGCTGCCTGCTCCCGTCTCCTTCCTGGAGCCCCGTCACTGGGAGGTGTGATGGGCAGGTCCCCCACACGCTGCCTAGTCCAGCCCAGCATGGATTCTCAGGAAGCACTGGGCCACTGCTGCAGAAGAGGCTTCTGAGTGTGAAATGATCATTTCTGAGAAGAAATGAGTATTTTAGGTATGACATTTAGCTTCTAGCCTTTCACTAAAGGTGAAGTAACAGCTGTGACAGATGAGGTTATTGTATAACCTAAATACTAAAAGAAAGTGCTTCAGATGTAGAAGGGAGAAAATGCAGCAATGAGGCAGGGTAGGTAAATAGCAACACACATTGTGTGATAAAAGTTGCATGACAGTTTAGTTTCTTCTGCATTGTGTCACTTAGTGAATCGTCTCTGAAGAAGTTCTGTTGTGCATCTAGTATAGGCAGAAAATTCCTTCTATTCCTCCTAGATGTCCTCAGCTACACTTTTTTTATATGACACCTGGTTTTACAACTGTTGTCAGTGAAAACCACACAGTAGCTGCCATTGTGAAAAAAATATATAATCGGGTATCTGTCTTTAATTCAGTAAATTAGGGTATTTTCCCAAAACTGTAGTGAATTATATTTCAATTCATACTCCAGAGTAGCTCTTGCAAAGCTCTGCTTTGCAGGCACAAACTGGAGAGACAAGAAGAATTTCCCATACAGGTTCATTTCTTGGACATGTTCCTGCAAATCTTTTAATTTGTTTTGGTTTAGAACAAAGTTATACAAAAGCCCCTAACCTGTGGTTACTTGTCCCACCACGATGGACAGTTTTGCTTCTCACCATGGCCATCTTTTGTGTTCTCACAGCACTGTGAGAAGATTTGTTAGTTCAGTTAATTTGTCAAGCCTACTTTCCTAATGTAAATATTGAACTGTTGTTTTGTTAAAAATGAAAACTCAAATGTGGAAAAATATATGCTAGAGAAACAAGGTGAGCACAAAGGACTTTTATAATCTTTGCCTGTATGATGCCATAACATCCTGAGGAACAGAGGCAACATACCTAAATTTATACTCATCAAAGATTATGCAATGTAATCACAAAACAATCAGATTCATAGTATCGTATATGGTGGGTTTTTTTCTGCAAATAGGTCTGAAATAGCACATAAAAGTTACTATGATTGTTGAGTTTCAATAGACACAGGATTTTAGCTGTGATTATTGGACATTTTGTCCATTGCCATGAGGTGAGTATATAAGCTCTACTGCTCTTGTATTTTTTTTTTTCTATACCCTATCTTCTATTTTTTTAAGCAGTGTTTGTCTTCAGGATACTGTTCCATTAAATATCACCAAATACCAGCTTCTTTACTGGGCATGAGAGCCTCCCGCTGTCTTTGGATTACAGCAGAAAACAGCACATGCAAGTAGAAAAAGAAGGTATCGTGTCCCTGTAGCCAGTTCTCTGTGCCTTGCTCAAAATCTGAAGGCAGAAAACTACTCCCCCTTTAAGGAACAGAACTCGGAGTTGTCCTTAATTTGGCTCCTCAGATCCCTGGAACAGCTGTGGTCTCTTGGCTTTGCAGATGAAAGAGAGCTCCTCCTTCTCTTTTATCAGCCTTGCTTTTGTCACCACACCTTTGCAATGCGCCTACAACCATTCCCCTTGGTGTAAAAGGGACCAAAGGATAAAACCGTGCGGTTCCTCAGCACAGATCCAGTGGTATGCTCCAGCCATGGCAGCAGACAGGCCACCCCTGTGCGGACTGCCACGTCCATGGGGTGGCTGGGACCAGGGAGCACACAGGGTGGATCCACACCCCTGTGTCCCTGCTTACACCACGTGAGAATCGCATGTCTCAGCAAGCTGTGCACAATTGCGCAGCAGTGTGCAGGGGCCCCTGTAACCTGGGGTATCAGGTACCCACTGTGCCACCTAGAAAAAAGCAGGGAGCCCCTTCCGGAACTTCATGGCTGCCCACCATGAAGGACACCACAGCTGCAGGGGCGGTCTGCTCAAACTTAACAGCAGTGCATAACAGTCTGGAACTCAGTAGCATCCTTATGAAAAATCTTGGTACTCCCTACGCAACTGGAGCAGCAGAGAAGGAATTAAATGGTGATGGGGGTGGGTGAGGCCTGCACCTTTTGCAAGGAAACTGTGCAAAAAACCAGCTTGCGCTTTGCTAAGGCTCCCAACATCGGCTAACTCAATTTTTACTTTTGAAAGATATTGCAACCCCAGCCTATTATGTCTGTTCCCTTGCCATATTTTTCATTTCTTGCTTCTTCTGCATTGACTAAAATGGATTTGGAAAAGATTGCAAGAGTTTTCCGTATTTTTTCAAGAAGAGAGGGTAATTTTTTCTGCCCTTCTGATGCGCTGAATGCACTTAGGGTCAGAGCTAAGACATGGCAAATTTCAGAAGGATGCAAAACAACTTATCAAGGAGGCTGCACTAGACCAAACAATAAGTGTTAATAACCTGCAGGCCCTAAAATTAAGGGTCCTCCCCTGATTTCCGGAACCTCTCAATGAGAGAGGGAGAAAACCGGTGTCAGTCTCTGCCATTGCTTCCCAGTTTTGGAATTGCTGAAGATTTGGTGGGGGAAAGAGGGAGGAGAGAAAAATGGCAAATTAATTAATGCCAGCTATCTTATTCCTGCGACGCCGACACTCTTCACATGCAGAACGTGCAGCTGTGGCCTGTCCTTTACTCAGAGCAAGGGCTAGTTCCCCACCGCTGCCAGCTGCCAGCACATCCTGCACAGGTGGCACCCCGGTCACAGGGCTCATCCGCCTTCTGTACCCGAAGTTCAGCTGTCAAGAGAGTCATTTGGCAATCCTGAGCATGACGGTGTCCCGGGATGTAGTCGGGCCGTAGCTCTCTCTGTTTGATGTTCTCCCAGGTCATTTGAAAGTGGAGGTCCGTGGCTTTTGAGCTTGCTTATTTTAGAAAGGCCAAAGACCAGACACACGTGGCACAGAAAGAGTCACACCACACCCAAAGCAAAAGCACGTAGGGAGAGAGCACTGCTGTTTTATTGCATATTTGGTTTGTTGTTTTGTTTTCTGGTTTGGTTTGGTTTGTTTTTTCCCAATGAGTGTGCTATTAATACTGCAGTCACCAGAACTTTTGTTGTTGCTATTTAAATCAAATAGGAAAGGGACAGAGGTGAGGAGCCACTGTTGTTCTGGCTGCTGCTGTTGCAAGATGAACTGATGAATAACTTGTTTGATTTCTCGTTCCCTTGTAGTTGCACTCTGCTGTGACCAGGATCCAAGTTCAAAGACCTGGTTTCAATTACACGTTTGCCCATATATGTATCCTGAACAATGACAAGACATGCATAGTGGACGACATAGTGCATGTACTGGAGGAATTAAAGGCTGCTCGTTCTTCTAATCGAACTAATTTTGCAATCACTTACCCGATTACTTACTTAAAGGATGGCAGGGAAGTATATAACGGGCATCAGCTTGGTGGGGTTACTGTGCACAGCAAAGACCGGGTGAAGTCTGCAGAAGCCATTCAGCTCACCTACTACTTGCAGGCAATCAACTCCTTGAATGACATGGTGGCAGAGAAGTGGGAATCCATTTTTTGTGACACTGTTGAACTTTTCCAGAAATCCAACAGGAAAATCAAAATGTATCCTTTCACTTCTTCTTCGCTGAAGGAGGATTTCCAGAAGACGAGCAGGGTGTCAGAACGCTACCTGATCACAAGCTTGGTCCTTGTGGTCACCTTGGCCATTCTCTGCTGCTCCATGCAGGATTGTGTCCGCAGCAAACCCTGGCTTGGCCTGCTGGGATTGCTGACAGTGACCCTTGCAACCCTGACTGCAGCTGGGATCATCAATCTCACTGGTGGGAAATACAATTCCACCTTCCTGGGAATCCCTTTCATCATGTTAGGTAACTATCTCCTATCTCCTCTCTCTTTTGTGTGTTTGTGCCTCCCTGCACATCTGCATTTCCCAGCAAGCAGAGACACATTACTGCATGGCTGCTGGTGCCTCCTTCCTGCAACACTGCCCCATACCCAATTCACATAGCCTCTTTTCCTAAACTGTTTGTACCATGCCAGGACATTAAAATCATGCCTGGGGCTCAGGTGTGGCACAGCCCACGCGGTGGCAGGGAGCAAGGATGTGCAAATGCCGTGTTTTGGGCAGAGGGGGAACCCAGCTGCTGCGTTTCTGTGGATGTTTGATTCTGGTTTTGGTGGCCATCATTGGAGGCAAACCTTTGCAGAGGTCCTCGTGCTGTAGTGACAGTGTCAGATGTGCTAGCAAATCAAAGGGTCTGCATGTGCTGGGCCTTCACAGAACGTTGGCTCCTTCGAAGAGCAGAGTGGTGCTGTCCTGGCTAGGCAGAGGCCTGTCCGTGGGATAAGGGCAGTGGTTGCTTCTAGGTTGCATTTCTGAATCCCCTGTGTTGGCTGAGCAAGCGCAGGGGGGTTTCACAGCGCTGGGGTGGAGAGCTTTGCCTCCTCCAGCCAGGGACAGACGGACAGGTGCTCAGCTCCAGTGCATCCCGCAGCAGAGGGCTGTGGAGGGAAGTGGCACTGGCCACTCCATGGCTCTGGTGGCAGCAGCGGTGTCTTCATCTCCCTGGTTTTCGTACTGCTGCCACTTGCTGTGAAGGGGTGCAGGGTGGTATTGTTTTGGTTTGTTTTCCTCGAGGGTAGGAAGGAGGAGGAGAGAAGGACGGTCGGCTTGCTCCTCAGCCGAAATCTGTGCTGCCTTCTGTTGGCCCTAGTGTGTCTGTGGGGATGCCGCGTGCTGTATCCCAACAGTCAGGAGGACAAAACGAGAGCTCTGGAGAGTTCACACCCTCTTTGTTTGTGTTTGGCTCATAACCAGTGTGAAAAGCTTTGTGTGCTGTAGGTGTTTAATAAGTCGTCATTCACGCCATTATTCAACTGTGGAGAATAATACATGCATTGATTTGATCACAGCTTCCCCAGCTGAAAATCAGCACTCGGTAATACTTGAGGTTTCAAGTGTAAAATTGTCTCCACTGCCTTAGTGACGACATGTAGTGATAGGACAGGTTTCAGCACAGCTGTGTTTATATCCAGCGCTAGGTTCCCATGCCGAGCCCCTATGGTAGCTGTGGTATTTTTGCACTTTAATTAAAGACTGTGCTTCAGTGCATTGCACCATAACATACAGAATGTAGTCACATGACAAAGAGAATTCAGCGACATTACATCAAATCTCGTATTCAAATGAAATCCTTGAAAATTAAACTGTATCATAATCTAGACAAAATGCAACACAAGAAAGTCAGAGTCAAAGGAAGGCTGGCTTTCTGACCTGAGTCTTTGGTTTCTTTTGTTGGGTTTTTATTAGCCTGTGCATGTATTATATAATTCACTTCCTTAAACTAAGTAGTATGTATTACACATAATATTACATAGGAGGGCATTTCCAGATGTGTTGCAAGAGCAGTAAAAAAGCAGTCTAAATCCAGCCACAATTAAATGAAAGTACCTGGGGAAAGCGACTCAAAAATATTAAATATTAGCTCTGTTTACGGATCAAAGCATCTGCTCACTGGGGCAAACTTTCAGTTCTTTAATTCACTGATAGTCACTGTGCTGAGACTTGAAGTCCTTGAAGACTTACAGACAACTATGAAAAAGTTTTACACTTCTGTTTTAGTGCTCCTTTAACTGCCAAGCTGTATAGCCAACTCTGCTTTTCTTTTTCCTTTCTTTTTCCTCTGGGTTTTTTTTTTTTTTTTTTTGGTCTTGCTTAGTTAAGTATTCCACTCTTAAAAGGAATACATTTCAAATATGCATCTCGGCTCTCACTGTGAACAAGTCAAGACAGAGCAGCCAAGTTCGTGTGAATCTTGCCTGCTTCCCCAGCTGCCCAAATCTCCTGAGGGATAGGAATATCAACAGGCGAACAGAAGGCACTAAAGACATTCTGGAGTTTTAAACAAGACCTGTTTTAAACCAGCAAATAGCAAGAAAGGCAGGGTTTCCTTTTTTTCCTGCAGTACAACAGAAACCTTCAGCATGTGTTTCCAAATGTATTTCATACTTCTGTGTTGTTTTGCTTACAAAGGATGGCTTACCTCAGTGTAACTGAAGGCTAGAGACACAATCCACCCTCCGTTACAGCCCGCTGTACTTCCACTTAATTCAGCAACCATCAGGTTACATCATAGATTTAACTGACCTTTAGAAAGCTAAAGGATTTCTGGCTAACAGTGTAGCCCCATAGCTGTTACTCATAATCTCATGGCTAAAAGCAAAAATTAGATAGGAAAAATGGTTACACTGGACACATTTCAGGCAAGGCCCCTTTACTAGTATAAATCATTGATGAATTTTCTCTGGTTTGTAGCAGCTAAGGTTTTTTAACTTTTCATCAGCATTGCAGAGCCAGGGCAGGGAGGACACTCTCCAGATATCATCTACCCTCTGTCACAGGACAAGATCACATTTTTCCCAACAGATAATTCTCACCCTGCACTTTGTCTGGTCCTTGGGCCTCTTCCCCCAGTGTTTCACTGCACCACCACTATGACATTTGCATCATGTCTAACCTGAATTGCCCTTTTGTAACTCAGCTGTCCTCCTTATTTATTCACTGCATCTGGAAAACAATTTCTTTTCTTTTTCTTTGCATATTTTGGACCACTCCCACTTGCTCAGTCCTCTTCCCCTTCATCTCAGGTTTCCTCTGACTGTTTACCAGACTCCCAGCAGTCTTCTTGCTTTTGGCTGCTCCACGTCTTCCGTGGAGGACAGTGCCTAAAACTGGGCACAGGACTCGGGCTGAGGCTTTCAGCAGCAAGTAGAGTAGGAGGATGAGTTCACACATCTTGCATATGGCACTCCTGTTCGTACATCCTCATATGACATCCATTTTTTTTCTCAGCAGTATGAAAGGGTTGGCATTTGGTTGGTGGCACATGGTAATTCACAGGTCCTTTGTGTCACTTTCTACCCTCTTTGCACAGTCAGTTATTCCAACCAACAGGTAAAAGGTTACCCTTATCCTTGCTGAATTATAGCTTGTTTATCTCACACCGTTTCTCCTTTTCATTATCCATGATGATACCATCACTTCCCTTCTGAGATGCATTAACTCAAGTTGGTCATCAGTGTTTTGTAATTATCTGCTTTTTCATATTTTCAATAATTACTTTCTGAGTAGTTTAAATACTTTGGTCAGAAGCCTGTTCTAATAATTCAGGCAGTGTGTCTTCAAAATACTTCATTCAATGTGTTCTTTAGTACTAGATTTCACTCTACATATTTTTCTGTAATGTCCCTTCAGCATCAGCCATTTCCAAGTAAAAACCAGCTATAGTGAAGGGAAACAGCCTTCGTAGGTGTCAAATCTGTAGTTTTTGCATCAACAGGACAATTTAAGTTATTAAATTACCATGGCTTACCAAGTTGCACTCGTAAGCTCAGAGTGTGGAAGTGTAGGCAGGAACATCTTTCGCCTACCCCACCTGTTAAATATGACATTACTGGTTTAAACACTTCATACTTTGGTTTTAATCACCTTCATGGTAGTTTATTCTAATTTATTTTACTCTTTAATTAAGGCAGGTTACTGTAACTCAGCTCACAAAAGGTAACTCATTAAGATAAAATAACTCAGTCACTGAAGACTGTTCCGAGCCTGAGTGTGTCACTACTGTAATGATTTTTTTATTGTGGCAGGTTTCTTTTTAGCCCTCTGTGGCTGCTAACTGAACAGCAGAAATTGAAGCCAGGAGAGCTGTTGCCAGAGACCTCCTTCCCCAGCAGGTGCTGAAGAGCAGGGTCCCCTTTGGTCACTGGAGGTCCAGCTGTGAGAGCAAGGTGGGAGGGCGTGCGTGGGGTGGGGCTGGCACCCCATGGTGGGGGCCAAGCGAGCGGAGGAGGGCAGGCTGCCTGCAGCCACTCTCTTCTGTAGGGGTATTTTGTTGAGTCAGCCTGGGAACTTTTCTTCTTCACCTCTGGTTGTATGCAGGTATTTCTAACATGAAAGTGAAGCCTGAAACGTGTGAAACTTGGCAGGCTCCCACCATGCATCTGAGCATATTTTGAATTAGCATATGCCTCTGTGTTTTTTTTTTAACTGTCATTCCCATTTATTAGTCTGTAAATAAGTAACTCAGGGACAAGATTACTCACATGCCTGGTTCATGTGGAAAACCTTTTATCCTAAGAACCAAAAAAGCAATTCTTCAATTTGGTTGAATTTAAAGTAGCTGATTTGTAGCATCAACTGAAAAGCAGAATTAAAATTCTTGTTTCCTGTTGCCTGCTCCATTAAAAACTACAGATGTTTGGTCTGGCAGAGATGCTAACGTATTCATCTGAAGTTTCCTTTGCACATTAAATGTTGTTGAATAACTGCCAAACCTTTAAAAATATCGGTTTCCTCACAAAACCCACCGTGTTACCAAAACAAACCATTGGACAACAAACAGCACTGGCTGAACAAGTTTATAGCGTGACTTGTTTACTTCCTAGAGGTGAAGCACAGCATTTAACTCAGGGACTCAAATGAAAATTGCAATAGTTTTCTCTTCCCTTTGCAGTGAAGAGAAAACTAGCAATCTGTTTCCTGTTCCTCTAGAAACTCCTACAGTTTCTTTGGGGAGAGGTAGCTCTCTTCAGCTGCCAAGTTCGTGAAAAGCATCGGCACTGTGAAACCGCGGTGGAACGCCAGGCGCTGCCAGATACAGGCAGGGATGCAGAGCCAGCCCCACGGGCTTATATTTAGCCACTGGTGCTGGCAGGGGAGAACCAGTTAGCAGTGATGAGAGCGACGTGAGCTTGCAGCTTGTTGTAAACAGAAACGATAACCAGTCTCATGCGAAACTCAGCAAAACAGGAGCACATGCAAATACCTCTTCTTGCCGTCTCCCTCCCTCCTCCCATCATGTCCCAC